GCAGGACGTTCAACAGGTAGATGCATTTTCAAATATGTCTAGACTCTCTCACTAACTTGGAACTTAGATACAGCAGTTTTGCATTGCAATGTACAGTAAACACTAAGCCACATACTGTAAATATGGTAAAATGCTGTGATATACTGTATCAATATACCATGGTATTATCATCTGATGCCATAACTTTACCATGGTTCCACCCCAGTACTTTAAAGGTGACACATCATGAAAATCTGACTTTTTCCCGTGTTTAAATGATATAATCGGGTCCCCGGTGCATCTACCAACCCAAGAAAATGTGAAAAAAAAAATGTGCAATTTCTTTCCCAGCTGTTTACCTTCACAGACATAACTGACTGTTTTTGTAACTTGTGTGTTTTTGACAGTTTAAGCACAATAAGATATGAAAGAGAACTTAGTTTAGTACTCACATGCCATGTGACAGCCACTTTCTGTGTGTGTGCTTCGGATGTGTGCGCTCAGAAGACCGTATATGGTTTAAAACGCATGATTTCAGCATGATAGACATGGTAATCAAAACCAAACAGATGTTTTTTTTAGCAGAGTATCTGAGGTACGAGCTGTAAAGGCACAGCCATCATTGAACAGCAGCTCATTTACATTTAAAGAGACATGCACGAAAACAGCAATTTTTCAAAATGATCATCTAATAAATTATCTGTGGGGTATTTTAAGCTGAAACTGCACAGACATGCCTCACTGCGAACACCCGAGACTTACATATTTTAAAAAGGGGCATAATATGTCTCCTTTAATGAATAAAAAATGGTTTTCATGTTTTTTTTTTTTTTTTTTTTCTTAGATGTGCAGAAGTTCATCCATAATTTTAAAGTGCAGAATGGTGAATGAGGAAATTTGTCAACACTTCACCATAAATTTGGAGTTGTACATTTTTATACACCGCGTGTATTTTTTCTTCGACTATGTTCAGTGTTGGATATTTGCCCAGGGGAGCAGTTAATATCTCTCCATTAGCCTCTTTCAGCGGGTCTGTGGCAGCTCTGGGCCTGGATTCAGCTCAGGGTTTATCAGGCCAAATCAAGATCTGAACCAGAACCAAAGAGCTAAAGAGCCAATGAGGCCAACCCCAGCCCAAACAGGGGCCATATTCAGGCCAGCCACAGGCCAAATGCAGGGCAGAGAGCAGCACAGATGATACCCTTCATTACACTGACCGTAAAACGGACATTACTGCACTCCTGTATCAGTTTCAGTCATTATGAGCACTGTATTGGTTGGCTTTTAGTCCTCTCTATTCTCTCTTCTGAACTTTCTGACTCCAGAGCGATAAACTTTAAGCACTTGTAGTGTACTTAAAATTTTAAAAGCATATATTTGAGGGGGGAACAAATTCTTAAGTGCACTTAAAGAGAGCACACTTTCACGACTGTTTCTTAACACACTTTTAAACATGCACTTTGTAATAATCTTAAATTAAAGGTTTTACTTTTTCATTATGTTTAAATAATCTTCTGTTGTGCTTTAAAGAAGCACTTATTTTGATTCAGTAATGTATTGAAAGTAAATATATTTCAAATGTACTAAACTGCAACTTCAAATTTACTAATGTGCAATTACAAATATATTTGAATACAAGACAAAAACATTTCAATAGAAATGACAAAGTATGTTTTAGTTAATTTGGCTTTAAATATCTTTAGTTAAATGCTTGTCAGTACATGCGGCAGTACACTTTAACCATATTTCAGAGATAATAGTAGTAATTATGAAATTATTTATAAAGATGTACTTAAATCCTACTTAAGTTGGTTGAAAAAGCACTCTAAAATTCAGCTAATTGCATTTAATATAAATTTAACCTATAATACATTTTCATTTAATTGCAACGAACATCCAATTATGTGTCCAAAAATATTACATTCATTTCGAACTTAAGTATATTATTTTAAAGTATATTGTTTCCAGTTCCTGCATAATAAAAATATTACCGACACATATTTATTTAAAACATTATTGTAAAACATTTATGATGTAAAGCAGATTTCAGTTTTTATATATTTTAAAGTATATTGTTTCCAGTTCCTGCATAATAAAAATATTACTGACACATATTTATTTAAAACATTATTGTAAAACATTTATGATGTAAAGCAGATTTCAGTTTTTATATAAAAAAAACGCTTTTTATTCTGTAGTTCTTTAGAAAACCCTATCTTTTTATTTCAACAGAACCCATGGATATAAGATAATATACATGTTTTTGTACATGTTTCTGCACACATTCAGACACAGTTGGTAATGATGATATCAAACTTATTGTATTCCAGGTGATGGACTGTGTTTCACATCTGTTCACCCACTGCTTTGTAGATTTATCAAGGAAATAATTAAATTTTTCTATCGCATTCGATGAAGGTTTAAAGTTGATCTGTCCTGCTGATTGGTTAAAGCATCAGATTTTTCTGATATGTATTGATTGGTGATAGGTGGAGTTAGATTTCACCCTTCAAACACTGATCAGGTGAAACACGCTAAACACTTTAAACACAAACATACGGCTCTGATAAACCTGGATCATTGATTTGAATGAGATATCAGCATACTGGATGTTTTCTGAGAGAAAGATTGTTATTATTACCCATATTTGGTGATGTTAGTTTGCCTCACCCTGAAATGTTTGCAATTCTTGAGTAATGGAGGCGGAGAGGTAGCCAGATGTCTTGAAGTGTGCAGTTAAATTCAGGTAATGAGTAGGTTGAGTTATTTAGAGTAAATGAACAGACCTCCCACACTCGTACACATACAAGTCCTGTTTGTGTACAAATGCTACTAGTTGCAGTTAAAGGAATAGTTCACCACAAAAATGAGAATGTGCATCCTGAAAATGTTCTTTTGTTAGAGCTTGAGAGTCAACATTCTGCTAAACATTGGTTTTTAAATTCTTTTAAGAGGAATGCTCATTCCTGGATGAGCTGTTTCTTTAAAAACACTCTTGTGCATTCAACACACTGTTCCCTAGAGCTCTTTCTATGATCTGCGCCTCAGTCTGAGGCAGTCAGATGCCCGTTTTGATAAGATCAGAGCGGTTCTTCTGTGTTTTCTCTGCTTCTTTCTGGGGTTAGTGGTGAATTGGTTGTGGTTAGTAGTGAGTCATGAGGTTATCAGCAGAACACACAAGTGCTCTTGACTCGGTTACCTGGGAAACCATGATAACTGGAGTAAAAGAGGGTTGTGAGTCATAGCGGGTCAGACTGTGGGAGACTGACTGCTTTACACCCATGAGATTCCGTTCCATTGGTATCAGTCTGACATTATATGTCTTAGAGTCTCTGTTTTTTACACATACTTTAATTTTCCTGTGTTTTTCTGGTAAAGGTCAAAATGGTTTCTTGACATTTATTTTAGACGAATATGTCAGACAAGTTTCTTTGTGAAAATGTCATCATTTACAACATTCAATTGCAATTATTAGGGCAACCCCAAGGGTAAATTAGGTATTTGTGTCCAATCTATTCATCTTTTTCTTCTTCTTCTTCTTCTTCTTCTTCTTCTTCTTCTTCTGTTTAGTTTCAACTAAATAGATCAATTTATTTATTTAGTTAGTTAGTTACAAATGTCAGGTTGGTATAACTATACATTAAGTTGAAGAGTCGTGCTGCTAATCTGAAATTGCTATTATGTAATATATGTTTTATATTAAATATTTTATTTTTACTTTTGGTAACACTTTAGGGACCACTATGAACTTGTTGCTCATTAGCTTGCATATTTCTAGCATATTGGCTGTTTATTAGTACTTATAAAGCACATATTATTGCCTTATTATGCATGACCATTTCTACTGTATATCCCTAATCCTACCCAATACCTAAACTTACCAACTACCTTACTAACTATTAATAAGCAGCTAATAAGTTAATACGTTTATTGAGGCAAATTCATAGTTAATTGTCTGTTAATAGTGATAATTGGACCTTAAAATAAAGTGTGACCTTATTTTTTTATTGTCATTATGATTGTAGGTCATTTAAAAAAAATCATAATTTATCCTTGATATTTAAACCAATTTGATAGTTTATAGTCATTAAATCAATATTAATCTAATCATTTTTTTAAAGAACTTGACACATGCATTTTATATGGAAGCTTGTTTCTAACATGAAATGAAAAATTAAAAAGGTAATTGTGACTTTTATCTCACAATTCTAAGTTTATATCTTACAAATCTGACTTTTTTCCCCATTACAATTCTGAGAAAAAAATAATTCCCAGATATGTGACCCTGGAGCACAAAACCAGTCATAAGTCGCTGGGGAATATTTGTAGCAATAGCCAAAAAATACATTGTATGGGTCAAAATGATAGATTTTTCTTTTATGCCAAAAATCATTAGGATATTAAGTAAAGATCATGTTCCATGAAGATATTTTGTAAATGTCCTACCGTAAATATATCAAAACTTAATTTTTGATTAGTAATATATTTAGATTTTTTTGCACCCTCAGATTCCAGATTTTCAAATAGTTGTATCTCGACCAAATGTTGTCCTATCCTAACAAACCATAGATCAATGGGAAGCTTATTCATTCAACTTTCAGATGATGTATAAATAATTTTGTGGTCCAGGGTCACATATAACAGAACTGCAAGATGTCAGAATTCTGAGAAAAATGTCAAAATTGTGGGGTGCAAACTTGCAACTGTGAGACATAAACCCGCAACTCTTGAGAAAGAAGTCAGAACTGTGAAATGTAAATTCCCAATTACGGGTTTATAACTTAGAATTGTGAGATATAAACTCAGAACTGTGAGAGAAAAAAAGTGGGAATTGTAAGCAGTGTTGGGGAAAGTTGAATGGGATTAAATACATAAAGGATATTTGTGTTGTTTAAAATTTTTATTATTGCAGGTTTGCGTCATATTCTGAGTTGCATTATTTTTATTCATTTTGAGGAATACTGAATCTGTGTTTTTTTTTTGTGAGTGAGATGAATTAATGCATATTCATATCTATTTTAGAACTACAGTAACATCTTCTGATTTCTCTCAACATGGGGACAGGAGAGCTGTCAATCAATACATTTGAAAAAAAAAAAGTAACTTGCGTTACTTATTTGAAAAAGTAACTCAGATATTCTCTTGTAAATTAAAAAGTAATGCGTTACTTTACTAGTTACTTGAAAAAAAGTAATCTGATTACGTAACTCGCGTTACTTGTAATGCGTTACCCCCAACACTGATTGTAAGATATGCACTTGCAATTGTGAGAAAAAAGTCAGAATTCAGTCAGAAGAGATAAAATGTTGCAACTACCTGTTCTATGTTGTGTAAATAAGCTCCCATAATTTTAAAGCAATTTTTTACAAAGCTTTTTCCTTATCATCATCTTGGACATCCTTATTTGTCATTGCCCCCTAAAACAGGAGAAATTGTATAAGTTCTGAATGTTTACTAAATACTCCAGTCTGTTCAGTTTATTATGTCTTTTCCTTGATTATTTCTTGTACTTGATTATTATGATAATTTTGATTTGCTTTATGTAAACAGCCATTACAAACATAATCAATAGTTCAATGAAGACAGCACCGATTTCTGGAGTCAGCAATCTTGCAAGTCACAATGACTGATAGTCGAACACAAATGCCTGATTGTTATTGAATTATAAGTTGATTTATTTGGCCAAACAGGTGTTTGGACTGATTGATGTAATGGGTGCCATCTGTGAACTCCAGACCGTTGCCTTGAACAGCCATATCCTGTTATGGACTCGTCACGCAGGGCTATATTTATCTCATCAGCCTCTGTTAATATGCCTGTGAAAGAAGGAAGCTGGTTTTAGAACATGCACTAGATGCTTTAATCAATGTAGCTGAAACAAGAACTAATTGACACTATTGTGTACATGTTTGATTATCATTGTATCACTTGCAAACATGCAAGTGTAGTAGAAGAACCACAGATACCATGACTGTAACTGGAAAAAAGTGGTCAGATGCTTTGTGGTAGTTTCTAAAATTAAATAAATTAAACTATAGGGACATATTGGTTTCAGTAATTAACTTTATTTTATGCTTTCATTTCAATATTTATATTTAACAAAAGAGCAACAATATAAGTGCTGTGACAAGTACATGTAGTAAGGGTAGTAAGCTGCATTCTGAATTTGTTGATAGAACGGGCTGGAAGACTTGCCAAGAGAGCATTGCAATAGTCTAGCCTGGACAGAATAAGAGCTTGAACAAAGAGTTGATAAAAAGGGCCTTATCTTCCTAATGTTGTATAAGCATCCAGCAAGAAATGTCTGTTAGACATGCTGAGATGCAAGCAGCTATCGTCAGATCATCAGGATGAAATGAGAGGTAGAGTTAAGTGTCATTAGCATAGCAATGATATGAAAAGCCATGTTTCTGAACGACAGAACCTAGTGATGCCATGTAGATAGAGAAGAGAAGTGGTCCAAGAACTGAGCCCTGGGGCACCCCAGTAGCTAGATATTGTGACTTAGATACCTCACCCCTCCAAGTTACTGTACCTTAAGGAAATTTAGGAGAAATATAAAAGACAAAGTTGACATGTAAATGAATCTAAACTGACAACTCCATTAAGTCTTCTTTTTATGTGCATATAAATATATATACACATCTGAATGACAGAACCTAGTGATGCCATGTAGACAGAGAAGAGAAGTGGTCCAAGAACTGAGCCCTGGGGCACCCCAGTAGCTAGATATTGTGACTTAGATACCTCACCCCTCCAAGTTACTGTACCTTAAGGAAATTTAGGAGAAATATAAAAGACAAAGTTGACATGTAAATGAATCTAAACTGACAACTCCATTAAGTCTTCTTTTTATGTGCATATAAATATATATACACAAATACATTGAAAATAAACAGTTTGTTCTTTGATTATATATTTTCAACCTTTTCTCAGTGTTTAGTTTGAGAGTGGCAGCAGTACTGGAGCTCTACATGTTGATTTTGTTGTCTGAGTGACATTTCTGTCAGTCTAATCAGAGGATGTTGTTGGAGGAATGTTATTGGTAAAACACTGTCCTTAGGGATAAAGATAAAGTGTCTTTGAATCACTTTTGGACAGAAGACCAATGCTGATTGATCGCTCCCTCTTCATATGCCCATGAGAGTATACGAGCAGTCACAGGCACTGAGCATTAGCCTGTGTGTGTGTTTTCCTAAATAACTGCCTTTCTATTTGTCACATCAATTAAATAGACTAATGAAAACAGAAGCTCACTTGACTCGCTTTCAGCTCTGTGTTGTGTTTTTTTCCCCCATGCTCTGAATGGATTGTGTGTGTTTGTATGTTGCAGGTTATTGACTGGATAGAGAATCATGGAGAGGCTTTCCTCAGTAAACACACAGGTGTGGGAAAATCCCTGCACAGAGCCAGAGCCCTGCAGAAACGCCACGATGACTTTGAGGAGGTGGCACAGGTGAGATAACAGCCGCATCTGATCAGATTCATCCAAACCAGACCTAGTCAAGGCAGTCCTCCACTGCCAGTCAGACTAATCCACATCATTCTTATCTAAACCACTCCACCAGATTGAATCATTCCGTTAGATCCATCCAAAAACAATCAAATAAACAGTTTCTCAGACAATGTGTGCAGTACCAGCAGGTCTCAGTGGCACAGCAGCACATCCATTAAACAGGTTTAAAAAAGGATCTTCAAAACTTTACATTGTCTATTGTCAATAGTAGTGATGCACCGAAATGAATTTTTACAGAAACACCGAAACTGAAATTAAAGTTTTAATTTATCTGAAAATGGAAAAAAAAGTTTGTTTAATAGTCAATTAAGTATTCAAATTTATTTAACAAACAACACTCAAATAACAAATCGTAAAAAGTTATTTCAATTGCACATAATGCAGTTTTTATATTAACTTTTTAATTATATTTTTGTTTCAACTTTTATGTTTTCACTTTGTTGTTAAAATAAACAAAATATACATGTATAACATTTAAACAGTGGTTGTAATGAAGACTTGTTTTCATGACAGATTTATTCAAATATACATTAAATGATAAAGACGATAGGATAAAAATATAATGAATACCTAATATAGTTCATGTATTTTGCAAAATAACTAACAATCACTGAGAAGCATTCATTAAACTTCACTTAATGATTTTAACCTTACAAAAACTGATTTGTGGCCAAATATTATCGGTTGCCAAACTTTTGTTGTATTACTAGTCAATTGTGTAGCGATGGATGAAGCACAGTTCAAAGAAATCACTTTCAAATCAAGCAGCTTTTGTCACGTTACGCTGTTGAGGGAACACGTTGGACGTTGGAGTCACGAGGAAACGTTTAACAGTCTTTAATCATGAAACACAGGAGATAATCCACAATAGGAGTTTGAGCCAACACACGTAGAGAACGAGTAGACCTGACAAACACAAACTGAACAGACTAGGACTTTTAAACACTGGATAACGAGGGACAAAATAGACACAGCTGGAAACAAATTAACACAATTGACACGAGGAAAAACTGGGTCACAGGGAGCAAAACACACGCAGATAGTCCAGAACCCTGACATATCGCACCCCTTCCGGAAGGTGTGTCCTCGCACCGTAGAACAACAGAGGGGGGGAAATATGTGGGAACTAAGGAGGAGGCTCAGGAGGAGGACGGATGTCTGGGCGGGGGCCGGTAGACAGAGTCCAGAGAGGAGACAATGGAGGGAGGAGCCAGGGAGGAGACAGGAGGGGCTTGGAGCAGACAGGAGGGGCTTGGAGCAGGAGGAGCCCAGCTGGACCCAGGCCACAGCCATAATGTCGACCCACGGTGGAGCCGACGGAGGGAGGAGCCATGGAGGAGGAATGGCTGCCGACTCCAGTGGGCCGACCAACGGCGGCGGAGCAGGTGGCGGAGGAGCCCAAGGCGGAGATGAAGAGCCAATGAGCCAGGGGGATGCCGAGGATCCGGGGGGCCAGGGTGGAGCCGAGGGCTCTGGCGGCGGAGGTGGAGATCCTGGAGAGCTCTCCATCAGCTGCGGAGCCGGAGCGACTGAGGACCCTGGTGGAGCTGGCGGGAGGAAGGAGCCCAATAGAGCCGGTGGGACGGAGCAACGAGGTGCAGCCGGAGGAGCAGAGTCCTGGGGCGATGGTGGGTAGACGCCCGACCAAGGCAGAGCCAGCTGCAACTGCCCGGTGGAGCTGGTGGATCGACGGGTGACGGTGGAGGCGAGGGAGCTAGGAGCCGA